ATCCATTTGAGCTGATCTGCACGATCAACACACCATATCTTCATGAATTCACAATCAAATGTCTAACAAACTAAAATAGTCGAATTCAGGAATTCATGATAGAATGCAAAAATAGCTCCAAGAACAGTGCATCAATTCAGTAGCAAGGTGAAGCCACAACAATACTAACAAAAACGATAATAATGAATAATATCACTGCATTCCGATTATAACTTCATGTCTCATCATCTGCGCAACATTAATCAACGTTCAGGAACTGGTGATAAAGTCGACGAGTGTCTCAACGAACGGTATCTCGTCAGTGCATGAACAAGAGCGTAAGATGACGATCACGGTTGTTGCCATTATCTCATGTTTTACCATTACGCAAATGCCATCCGCCCTGCTGTTCCTTTACGAGAAATTGATCAACGATGCAAAAACTCAAGCATTCGCAACCGTCTCATCAATCACCAATTTTCTCGTACTCACTGGCAAAATGCTCAACGTTGTGCTATTTTGCTTGACAAGCATTTCGTTTAGGTATCGTTATTATTACTATTATCGCCTTATTTGTCCTTATTTTTTTCAATTCAAGATACTGACAAGAGAAGTAATAATTATAACATAAGTGCATTAATACTAACATCATTAATATTAATCCTAATATCAAAACAAATTTTCAAAAAATTGAAGATGTTTGACTGGAAAATCCTCCAAAGTAAACTCTAAACTTTGTTTTGAATGGAGCTGTAATTTATCGATAAACAATACATCAGTTTCTTAATGATTTTTCGTAAAAGAACGTCGTTAGAATAATATTCATAGCAATAAGAACAATATGAGTTATAAACCAATATAAATGTCAATCTTGACGAATGAAATGTTCCTCTAACCGATGTCAAGTCGTAATTTGCATTGCAGACGAAAGTTCTTCATCACTCTGCAATCGTGGATTGACTCACTGTTGTGCACGAAGCGATCTCGGTTACTCGTCAGAGACATCACCCTAAACCGTTCTCAAAGCACCCAAAAGAGTTCCCTCTTAAGCACTTCATCGCCCTTCTCTTCATCTCAAAAACAACACCGCAAATCGTCAACAATCATACAAATGAAATCAATTGACAAAAACCAATCTGTTCAGTCGAACAAAAACGAAAATTCCCCTTAAATTCTGATCGGTGTAATCATTTACGACATCATAATAATTGTAATGATTTTTTTTCACTATTTCTGTGTTTCATTGTTAATGTCACGTTTGTATCAGATTATTTAAAACTGCGATTGTGGTCATAATTAGTGATGGCATCCGAACGAAATTTCACCTCGGTCGAAATCGGACCAAATTGACTTTTAAACATTCCAACATTTAGAATTCCGACTAAATTTCGGAATTCCTCGGCCGGAATCTGACCGAATTCATAGCTTGAGAACACGATTTTCGGAAGTCCAACCGAACTTCAAAAGTGTTCTTTCAGAATCCTAATCACGGAATTCCGACCGAACATCGGCCGGATGCCATTACTAGTCATTACTATCACGCGTGTTTGGTGAAAAGCGTGCATGCATATCTTGATTACCTGATCGAGCACGTGGAAGATGAATTTTTCTCGATTTTCCAGATATTTTTCGCCGACGAATGGGTTCATTCCATTTTGCTCGTTGCAAAAGTTTACTATATCGATGACTCATCAATTTTTTGGTTGCTCTGTTTTTACAGCCTCGGCTGGACGATCAAGGAAGAAAAACTGTGCAGCGGCAAAACAAGTTCCAATTGACAAATAATTCATGGAAATTTCTTTGTTCCGAACACGATTTTGAGAGAGCCGTGCAATAATCAGGAATCATCTAATGTAAAAACAGTTGCACCGATCACCAGTTCTTTATCACCGACCATCACAAGATCATATCATTCCATTTTCCTTTTCATTTCATTTTATTTCTGTTTTATGTGTTCTGTTGCATTTATTTTCATCTTCCTTTAATTCAATCTAAATGTTTTAGTATCTTTCCAACATCCAAATTTTTTGATTGTAGACGTGACAAAATGTCAGCGATAACATCAGAAATTGAAATGCCACGTTCAAATAAACATACCATTCCCGTCATGTTCAGTGGGTCAAGTTTTTCGATCTAACTCAGTGTTTCACTTGGGAAAGTTCGTATGAACAACGAAACAAAACGCAAATTAATTGCATCAAACCCAAATTATACGGCAACGTTTGCACGCGAAGTTATTTTATTGTTGCCAATAGAACGCAGTATTATCATCAAACGGTCTCATTTCTCTTTTCATTGCGCGTAATTGCTAATATTGTGATAATTATAAATTGTTTTGTTTGTCTATTTTTTTCATTAGTTTCGTTTAGTGTCATAAAATATAATACGTATTTTGCGCACTGTAGAGCGCACTGGATTAGAAGGTGCATTGTCATGAATAGTCTATTTTCAAACAGCTCGAATTGCCATCGTCATACCTTGAAAGCCCGAGTTAGAATCTCATCAAGACAGATCATTCCCAACGCTATTATCGTTAGCTGCGAGGAAAGAAGAATGATAAGAAAGGAAGAATGTGATATTGGTAATAACAGAGAGGCACAAACTCGTAATGAGTTGGGTTTGCTGATTAAATAAGCAAGTAAATAAATGCCTTGAAAGCACCTTACTTCGATTTTAAAAACTGACGCAAAACAACCTCCCATGATGGTGGTAATGATAGCGATTTTGTGGATGAGACAGGAACACTTCAATACTTCTATCACTTTTAGAAATCAAACAAATTGCTCATAGCAAATATTACATTCGTCATTTCGTTTGTTCAAAGTAATCTGATCCCTTTTCTCCAGCCATCCATTTCCCTCAGTTGATAGTGTTAATAAGCAAACGAGGAATACGCATTGGGATAATATTAATTGGGCATTGAGATAATAATAATTATCATTAATATTATCCCTATTATTCACCGAGCAATGAATCGCTACCATTTAACCAAAGCTCTTCCACGACTGTTCGAAATCTTAAGGAAATGCATACTACAGACAGAACTAGAGTGTGAAAACTTTGTCATCGTTTTGCACACCACCATTTGCAGCTATTTAATTCTCAACATGAAATAGCCAGAGACTGAGAGATAATATTAAAAATAATAGGGATAATATTAATAATAAGATGATATTAAAAATAACTGAAAGATAATATTAATAATAATACACGTCTATCCTCCAGCAGCGCTAACTATCACTGCGCATTGATGCAGAGTCCCCTTCCCCCTCCCTCCCATATTTTACATTTCTATCCGCAAATTTGAGACCCAA